CCCCAAAACCCCAAAACCCCAAAACCCCAAAACCCCAAAACCCCAAAACCCCAAGTTTTAACGATAACATTGATTAATTCATATCGAAAGTTTATAATAAGAAATTTAAATATGAATAACCGAAAAAGTGTAAATTCGGGATCCCGGCTTGATTACTCATACTGTAAGTGTAGCTTCTAGCATTCCACAGACAAAGACTCCAAACTAATTGGCTTTGCATCATACAGAATATTTAACTTTTGAACAGTTTATTTGTAAGCATTAAGTTTCTCTGGAATTTGCCAAGAACTGTAAAATACATTGTTGCAATCATCGTCAACGCTATTTTGAAGGCAATAACCACTTAGTTATTTTATTTCTGAATCCTAATTTTTTTTGTACAATTTTTAATACGATGACTTATCAGATAATGTGACCCTTTATTAGCGTCAACGGGTGATTTCCCGTTGAAAAGCAGTCAAGATAACTATTATTACAAAAGCTTAAGTATGCAGACAGTCTAACCTATAGATAATGGCTCAAAGACTAATAAATACAAGTCCAAGACTCTGAGCAGAAGCAAATAATAACAGGTACGACCACGAACACCAGAGTAGAAAAGTCGCACTGAGTAAGGATTATCCTCAGCTTTAGAAAATAATTTTCTACAAAACCTGAGTTCAAATCTGAAAGGTAATTATTCAAATTACTCTTAACAATTCGAATGTTGCTAATGCACCATAGACGAGTACCAGCAAGAACAAGACTCGGAACAAGACAAACTCTTAAAGTCTCTCAGCAAGGCGATGACAATTGAGAAAGCCAATCTTGACAATGTCAATAAATAAAATACACATGTACAACCAAAGACACCAAGACTTGCCTAGACTGCTTGTCGACCAGGACCAGAAGAAACATGAACTCGTTAAGATCATGTCTGAAATCACTGAGGACTCCGAAGAGACTTTGGAGGTTTCGGACTTATCATCCAAAGAAGTCGATGCTTACATCAGCAGACTCCAAGATATCAGGAATACTTTGATGCACCAGAAAGATGACTACTCCAGAGAGGTCACCCGACTCGAAGGCATTGGCTCACAACTCAAAGCTGAAGCAGAGTCGAACAAAGCTGAAAACTCGTTAAAGATTGCTCGACTGTCAAACGAGCGGAGAGCAACTGCACAGAAGAAATGTCTTCTTGACAAAGATGTCAAGTTGCTTAAAGAGAAACTTCTTCAACTTGATGAAACTGTTTCGATGACCAAGGAAGACCTCACCAGCAAGCTACTACAGAGAGCCAACTTCGTGGCACAGAGAGAAGAGCTCGACGAGATCTACGAAATCAGCAAAAAGTCGTATGGACCAGACTTCGAACTGTTTTGAAAGCTGCAGCAAAGCCCGACCAGTCAGCTTTTACACGAGTACACAAGACTAAAGCATCAAAACTTTTACTTGGACATTCTACAACAGTTGTTGAAGTTCTCGAAATCGAAGGATCCTCAGAGTGAAAGTGGCTCTGACTTTGAAAGCGAAATGAGGACTCCACCATACAACATCAACACAATGGAGATCGAAAGATTGATCGAGAAAGTCAAGCACACTTCACCTGATTCCCAATACATTGAAGACCAAATCTGAGACATTTCTAAGAAACTGGACTTGTCACTGAAACATCATGTACTGTTTCAAAAGAAACAAGAAGTCAGTGAAAAGACCGACAAAGCCTATAAAGACAAACATGCATTCAAGATTTTCAAGGAAATCCAGAAGTGAGAACGCAACATCAAACAAAACTACTCTTATGTGGACGACTCAATCATCCCACAGCTGAAAGCACTCAGTGTTGATTACAAAGCCAAACAGAAGCGGTACAAGAAATGAAGAAGTCTCTGCAAAGCTACGACGACCCTGTTGAATAAACTAGATGCTCAGCTCCAAGAACTCCATGCTCAGAGGAAACACAAAGGCGACTCAGACAACTCTGGCGGCTGGGCCTTCGGCAAACTCTCAATCAACAATATTCCTCTTACCGAAGAGGACGACACCATTAATGCTTTGAAGCATAGACGAAGCACAGCAATGGCTCAACTCAACAACTGTACCAAACAAATAAATGAAGTAGACCAGAAAATTCAGATTTTAAACGACTTCAAACAGAGAAACGAAATGCAGCTTCGTCAAAGTGTAGACGAGCTCAAGTACGAACTCATGGTGGTCAGACAGGTTCTTTCGACTCTCGAGAAAGAAAAGTGCACAATCTCGAACAAACTCACTTCAATCGAGTCAAAGTACAACGAAGCCAAAGAGTCATTTAAAAACGCAGAAGAAATGTTGGCTTCTACAAACAGAATGATGATAAACTGCAGCATGAAGGAAAGCAACACATCAGGGAGCTTACAGAACGGTGATAATTCAAATATGTACATGCACAATAGTTCAAATCCAAAGCTTCAAACTGACGAGAGTAGTCAGACATTAATTTCCAAGCAAACAAAAATAGATTTTAATAATGATTCGCCAATCGATGAAATAGTAGAAGAAAAGCATGATATTGTTGCTACAGAAATAACAAATAAGTAAGTTTCTTCCCAAATTATCATCATAGGAATACAAATCACATGAATGCTTTTAGAAACTCTACCAACTTTAGCGACAGTATCACAACTAGTAATTTAAACTACGTTAACAATCGCAAAAACAGTAATTCACATAAATAAGCAGCCTGAGTTAAAGCATCAGAATCCCATTTCTTTGAAAAATATTCCAAAGTCTTTAAAATAACACAAGTTTTGCTGAAGTGAAGAGATCATTTAAAATAGACTTAACAAAGATGAGGAAGAAGATTCATGATAGTTTATCTATACCACAAGGACATTTTGAAACATTTAACAATACCCCTCAAAATATTCATGTTGACCAAGACAGTATCTGAATAACTAGGGAAGAACAAAAATTTGTCCAGAGCAATCTGGCTAAAGAAAAATATCAAGAACCTCAACACACACTTGAAAATAGAGAATCTTCTCAAGAACCAATAATGGTGGAGGAAAATGAAGCAAAAGCGAAGACAAGGAGAGCCTTCATGGACCAAAATACGAATGAATCTTTCCTCTCAGATCTCACAGAAGAAGAAAATTTGAATAATTCTAAGAATATTGAGAAAACCACTGAAGAAAATATAGTTCAGAATGAGTACGTATATCAGAAGGCAGATAACAATCCTTATCAAAGACCATTGAATCCTTTCATTAATAGAGAGCTCCTGAAAAAGACTAGTAAAGAATTACTTAAAAAAGGAAATTATAATTCAAGAGAAAACAATTTTAATAATTTTTCAAGTCAAAATAATAAATCAAGATTTTGAACAAAGATAAATCTAAATATTTTGAATTGTAAGAATATCTGTCTTAATACTGTAGCTGCTGTTAACAGAGGGCAAGCAAATAGTTCTTATCACTCTATTTTCAACAAGCATAAAAATGTAAATAGCCATAGTCGAAGTTTTAAGAACAACAAGAACTTCTCCGGAAGAATGGACTCTTCTATTAATAAAGGCCCTATATTGATGAAACTTAATAAGACAAATAAAAAATTCCAAAAACGGAATAAATCAAAAACTCAATACTCGTCATGTTCATTTCGGAATTCTCAAGGATTGAACACGAATGGGTTGACAAAAAGGAGACCTTCTTCTACTCTTCAACCTGATATCCCTCGGAAGTAATTTATGAAATAATTTTTAGGAGGTTTAGAAAGCCATCTAAAACCAAAAGCATAAGTAATAAAAGCACTGAATTTGTGACTAAAAGTAATCCATCTTCAATATTTCTAGGTGGAAGAAACAATTTTGGATTCTCTTCCAGGAAAGACAAAGTTCTTACTGCAAAGTAAACCAAAGGTGTCATTTTTTAGAGACGAGAATATAGTTGTGATGCCTTCAACTAAAAACAGATCGATCGACTATAATAATTCGAGGTGATATAGCAGCTGAGAGAAATCTATTATCCAAAAGTTTAGGAATAAGCATTCCAGGAAGAAGTCAGCCAAATTTAATAGAAATGCAACTAAGCTAAAACAAGCAATCCCTTGAACTGAAGAAGGAGAAGGAATGACTGCATATGGAACTAACCGATCCTGCACTAGGGGGCAGAATCATTCTATGTACTGATTTTCTCATTTGGGTAATTATGTTCCTTTATCAGCTAATGTAAGAAACCAAAGTCATCAAGAAGAACTCTGAAATAAAGAAAATAAGCAAAAATATGGGTTTAGGCGATCTCAAGAGGAAAGGAATTGTGAATCTGAGATTAGAGAGGAGTCTAATTATAGGAGTATCCCCAGGAATAGTGCCAAATCAGAACGGCATTTTGTTGAATCAATGAAACCGTTAATCTTTGGATCATCCATGTATAAATAAATTCAGTACAAATATCCTACTCCAACAGAAAGTTTTTGATCCTTTAAATGAAAGGGATGTCAGTCCAGATATGTGTGGTTACGGAGTTCGGTATGTTTTGATTTTATGACCTTTATAGATATTTTAAACTTGACCCTTCTTTAAAATTCATTGAGGTCAGACTTCCATCAGACTCAAGAGTAGAACAGATCATTGATATTAAGGACATTATAAAGACATCTCTACCTCACACTACTGTTGATATTATTAAATTTCAGAAGAATGATGGTTATCATTCTCAAGAATTGAATAAGTCAAATGACAAGTCGTGTATCGACTACTCTATTTTCCATGTGAATGGCAATATCAGCAACCTTGTAAATGCCGGTATTATCAACAAAAACTCCCAGCTTTATCGACAGAAATGACTTGAAAGTGGATACTACCCCTTTAGTCTCTTGCTCAGGAACCAAAGAATGGAGCTGATTTCTACCAGTTACGAAATCATGTATCAGTGGATCATTGGAATTAACATGTTGATCCATTTCAACAAAAGTTGTAAACGAGAAACCTTGTAAAATTACTTTTAATAAATTCAATAAACTGCTTTAAAAAAGGGGTTTTGGGGTTTTGGGGTTTTGGGGTTTTGGGG